CAACCTGATCTAGTGAAAGATATCCCTGCACGTGGCAAGGAGGGTGGACTAGATGGTCTTTAAATGTCCCTTCCAACCTAAACCATTCCATGATTCCATAGGGTAGAATTTGACCTGGATTTGCAACACTGAACTGAACTCACGCTAACAGAACTCTTACAAAGGATTGAACAGTAGACTCATGGCTGCTTGAACAGTAAATCTTAGCACTGTAGGCTGTAGTACAATTAGCTGGTTTTATATGTTAATTATAGCCCTGGATAGACACGATGATGTGAATTCCTCAATTAAAATACCTTCCTTGAGGCTAAATTTTCCCATGCCCTCAGAGCAGTAAAGCACAGATGCAGGCATACTGGGTAGCTTGCCTTAGCAAATAATCTGCTGTAACACTGACGCAGCATGAACAGTCTGTTGAATAATATTTTTTTTTCACGTGCCATGTTATGTGCAGGAATATGTTGTTGATGTAACTACAAAATTCAGGTGGTGATGAGGTATCCATGTCTAGAAATCAGGTCTGGTTAATAACTCATAAATGAGAGTAAAAAGGACTCTAGACTGAAATTCACTAAGAAAAACCATCTTTAATTCATGGGTTTATCGTGTTGTCCATCTATTGGGCAGGAAGGCAGTAAACATGTGTGGTCAAAGTACAGCTGTGTATAGTGGAGTACTAAGGAGCAGTGGTGCAGACAACTGAACAGCACCAGAGCATGCAGGACAACCAAGTGGGCAGCCTAGGGTACATTGTGCAGGTAAGGATGGTACCAAGAACACTACACACCAAACAGAAGAAACCACATTCTCGCATTGGTGACATTTTATTTTGTCATCTTCTGATCTTGCCTGTCTTACTGCAAACCTTATACACCCTGCACAGAAGTCCACATATTTGTACTTTCAGCACAGCACTGCAACCACAGTGATAGCTGGTTCCAAAATGCAGTGTAGGTATTACATATAAATCACAATGGAGCACTGCATGTTGTCTCACTACATACAGGTGTTAGTCCCCATGAGAGACAGATCATGCTCAGCTGGGGTCTGCTTTGTTTATTATATGGGAGAGGCAGCTCTTGAGAACACCCTGGCTATACAGCACTTGTCACTTTAGGGCCAGTAAGATTATTCTGGTAATAACACATACATATAAATCCACTTATTCACCAGGCACTGCAATGGCTTCCCTGTGAATTTCAGCACCAGCAACTTTGGTAGACAGTGAAAATTCACAGGGAGGTAAAATGGAGCCAGCTGCCTATTTTCTTGCCTGCAAAACTGCAAGGAAAAGGTCAAATTTTGCAACCTCCTGGTACAGTGGGTCTTTGGATAACAGAAATTCTGGAGAACTCACTCTCTGAAAGACAGAGTAGGCCTGCCTGTGCTACTGCTTCCTATTAGCTTCTATGACGTCTGCTGCATTTATGGAGCACAGGAAGATATTCCCTAAGATCCAGAGATCATGCCAACATGTGACTTAAAATAATGAACCCTCTTCTTTTAATATTTTCCACACAGGGATGCCACTGCTAATATACCTCATTCACACAAAGGAAGTAGTATTGAAAAGAAACAGGTAATATAACACAACAAATGTAAGAACACTATGGGAGCATGGGCATGACAAAGAACACCACACTGGCAATGGAACCTCGGTTTCAGAATTAGTGAGACTGCTGTTGTAGATACGCAGTCTTGCAGTAAGTTTGTTTCCCAGGTGAGTCTGAAACAAGCAGTCTTCAGAGGGCCTATGAAGACCGTCTTATTACATTAGCAACTGGGGGCCAGTGAATCTCCAAAAGTCGGGAGAGTATTTATTCCTCACTGGACTGGAAGACCCTCTACATATATTCAATGCCCACTGCTACAGAAGTCAGATGCTGGGGGAATACTGGGCTCCTGATGAGGGTAATAATGATGTTCTATCACTTCCAGGCAGACCAGAGCTCATGTGTTACTGCCTGGTGCTGAACCTAAACATCAGTGTATGAAGTAGAGACAGTGCCTTGTGCAACACACTGGAGCACACGCTAGGAAGGCATTTCCTTCTTCTGTGGCAGCCTTGCTGACAACAGACAGGACAGTTACAGGGCAAGCTAAAGCCTTTGTATTCTGTACAGTGCTGCTTAATTTGTGTGAATACTGTGCAAGAAAGATTTCCCCCTTAAAGAGACCTAAACACTGTGCTAGTCAGTCCCTTATAGGGAGAACTGCTAAAAAAGAACCCTGATGTCACCCATCAGAGGAAGATGACAAAACAGACAGCTGCTGTACGGGAAACCACTAAACAAGCAACTAATGTGACCCAAACTGAGACTGTAACCAGAGCAGGAGCTACACTGGGTACACTGCTAGTGCCACTGTCCAAGGGAACTACACCAGGAGAGGCAGCCTCTGTACCACAGCTTTGGTTTGAAGTCTCTCACAACTGACTATAGGCAACAGTTTCAAAATCAAGGTCACTGAGTAGAATGGAGTCATAGTCCCAAAGACATTCAGTTGCCTGTATTAGTGCTGTGGATTATGAGCCTGACAGAAGTGGGGCTTATAACTGAAAAGCTTTAGGATTACTCCTTCTCTTCTTCTAGGGATTTACTTCCGGGCTCGTTTGCGGTTGGCTTTTGGAAATTCGGCTCTCTGTGCAACTTGGGGCTCCCCCTCCTCACTACTTGCGCTCTCATTGTCCACCCGCTGTGGACGACCTCTTTTACTCCTCCTCATTTTTTCAACTCCAGCAGTGGGGAGCTTCTTGGCAGTCAGGGTCCCAGTTCTCTTCTTTTTGCCCCGGGTCAAGGGACGTTTCTTCCGTTGCTTCCTCTGCTCTTCTCTTTGGCGGATTTTCATTAGCTTTTCAAAGCTTTTGGTGGTAGTTGTGTTTACATCAAACCAGTCCTGGAGGGTTTAGAAGGCAACAGGTTGGTACTGATGGTGGAAATACCATATAAAGCCTATCAGGGCTCATAATAAAGCTGCCTTGTGGGACTAGGGTTTCCTGAAATGTGAGATCTGGAAAGGCAGCTGCCTAACAAAGCTCTGTTCTTCGATGCTCCTCCTCAGGTGTCACTCTGTCTCAGAGGATTCAGATTTGATTTGGCAATTGCCTGGCTAAAGGCATGGGAAATGCTGAAGAGCTGAACTGAGCAGCAGCAGCTTGGGATAAGACACATGACACAATACACCATTTGTTCCCCGGACCAATGCATAAGACCAGTTATGTTTAAGCAAATCAAAGGCCATTTGAGTCTAGGACACTGTTCCTACAGTGAGCAAGGAAAAAATAAAACAGGGCAAGCATCCAGCATTTCCTCCCCAAGACACCCCCCCCCCACCTCCAACAACCTGAGGTTTGAGAACTTCCATTCCACCTGGCTTACCTCAGCATGCACAGAATTGATGTGATACTTGACCCCGCTCTCTGAAATGAACTCCTTCTCACACAGGAGACACTTGTATTTACCAGCCACAAAGTCTCCCTAGCACCAAAACAAAAGAATCCATCACCAACTGCTGCCTAGAAGGCTGACACATCTTATATTGTATTTGAATCTTGCTCAGATATCACCCAGCAGTGAGAAGTCGAAACTCTTATTCATACCAGACAACGCTTTAGCTACAGGAGCACTGACATTATTGACCAGTTATGCCCACAAAGCATCAGACTGCTCTGTGAGATGTTACAAGGTTTCCGGCACTGTACCTGGAAAAAAAGCTCCTGTAGCTGTCAATCTACAGGTAGGACTGCAGTTTCACTAAAATGCATGCCATTAAGATGCTTCCTCCTTGCCTCAAGCAGTGTTTGCAATGGCAACCCCATTAGCACGTAGGCGAGCACTCAAAACTGTGAGGAACTCAGATTAGCAGATGGCAGGACAAGAGCTTGAACAAGGAGATAGGAGGGACAGGAACAGTCAGGCTATTCGTATAAAAGATAGTGAGTACAGGAAGGCTACCAACCAAGGTACACGTGCCGAGGTGAGATTTGAGTCCTGAGACACTGCCATATACAGATTCACAACCCTGAAACAGTAAAAAAAAGTGTGTGTCAGCAAAACTCTACTAAGAAATCACTTCTTCCTGCACAAGAAAGTCTTATTCTCTGGAAGACGATTCCAAAAGAGATAAGAGAGGGAGAGGGAGGCAGACACCGAGTCCTAAAAAGCCAGAAAGCTTCTGGTAAAAAGACCACTAAAAGAGACTTAAGCTTTCAGTAAGTCAAATATTTCCAGTTTCTGAGCACATTTAGACATAACGACGAGACTGTTGTCACAGTTACATTCACCCTCTATCAAAAGCTCGAGTAAAATGATAGAGTTTGCATTTTGCCTAAAGTGCAGCAGAGATTAATCTCAAACAAAGCACAGAGGCAAGTACAAGACACTTCAATCTCTCCTGCCCTGCCTGCGTATCTAGTGGCACAGAGCAGAAGTACTGTATCCGACATCAGTGGTCTCAGTTAAAGGACAGCTTTACAGGCCTACCCCATGTGAAGCTTTAGGCGTCAGTCTCAGGGTACTAGATCATACACAGCCGACAGCTCAGACCCTGAAACAGGAGGTAGGTGCAAGACATATTTCTGGGTTACCGGTCGGTGAAATTGAACAGCTGCCTTCTGGAGACAGATCTATTTACAACTTTATATTGCGATTTTTATACTGGAAATGAAGCAAGACTGAAAACTGGGGAGAGAGTGCTGGGGGTGGAGTAGGGCAGGGGGAAAGCATTGTCTCTACACCAAACCCAGAGGGAAGCCACCACCAACCCTTGGCTATCCAGCAGTGTGCGTCATGTGCATCACATCTACCATTGTTTCCACCAATGGGGCCATTTCTTCTCACTGGATCTGACTGGTGACTGCTGCATGAGACTGTAAGCAACTAAGTGCACATGCATAAGCAACCCTAGACCAGGATGACAGTGCCACGCATGAGCCTTCTGTAGCCCATTTCCAGCTTTCAGAAGAAAACTTAAGTGTTGTGCCAGACAGAGTCCCTCTGTTCTCACATTTCCACCTCTACTCCTCCCTTCTTCCAGAATTAGATTTAGTACACCTGCTAGACAGGCAGGGGACTGTCATTTTTCCACTGCTCAAACCTCCAAATGGACCAGCTCCCAGCTGGGTGTGAAAGCTGTGCCAGTCTGACACCAAGTTACTGGCTCTGAAGTGGACAAACACATACCTAGAGGAATTATCTCTAGGTCAACAGTCCAAACAGGGTCTTGGTTACGCTAACCAATCATACTGAGATGGAGCAGAATTTGTCTGCCACAGAGAGACAAGCTGCAGTTTCAAGGTGGAAAGCTGTTGACTTGTACAGACCTGAAATCTGTCCCCTTTTAAGGCTTCAGAAACGCTTAAGGATTACCTGATTTGGACAGTGGACTCTTCGGTACATCTTTATCTCTGTTTTCCATTTGCACAGCACATCTTGACTAAATGTGGGCAGTCCAGGACGAGTATATTTCAGCTGAGATAAAGAGATGGAATTGAAAGCTGGGAGCAATATTGGCTACACATAGTGCCAAGTATGTCCCTTTCTCTCCCAGGCTGTGAGACAAAAGTGGTATTTCTTCTCCTACTCTAACATCCGCATTTTTAATAACCAATTTTTTCCCATCTCATTGATTCTCTACAAACACCACTGAATCTGGAAAACCCCCACAATACCAGATTCCAAAACTTCCCATAACTTTGACTACAACAATTCCTCTAAATGTACTTACCCCATTAAAATAATAAATCATCCTTTTCCCTTGAGTGTCCCTTATAGCCTAAAAGATGCTCCTGGAAACTCTGAAGCCTGAAAAACTACGAAATATCACAGCATAGCAGCAGCGATCTGCAGCCTAGGACTTGTGAGCAACATACTGCCTGTAACTGCCTTCATTACTTGTGCCCACTGAAAATTACTGCAACAGGACCTGAAAGTCATTATAGCCTGCCTGGGCGAAATACTTACACCACAGCAACTGTTACTGTAGCAATACTGTAATCTAAGACCAGACACAGCAAAACCTGATCTATCCCACAAGATATTACTTCTTCAATATTGCTTTCCATGGGCCACTAAACACTGGCAACACCAGGTAGATGCCAGTGCAAGACTTATCTGATGTGAAGAAAGACTCAAACCCTATATAGCATTTTTAAGGTCTTGTACCTTCCGGTCATCTGGAATCAAGTCCTGCAGAACTTTTCTCTTGGGCCACTCTTTGGCCAGCTCTTCTCCAGCTAGCTCATGGAGATAGTAGATTGCCACCTTTGCAGATCTCCTCTGAACTCTGCCTGTGGTGTTTGGCTCCCGTTTTATTTCCTTCAGGCTCTCTGTTCTTCTCTCCTCATGGAGGAAAGTGACCTGCAATGATGGCCAAAAAAGGTGAGCCTCCTTCACTAGTTCCTATTTCAGTTAAACTAACTACTGTGAATAAATATTCTGTTATATTCTAAATATACATGTTAGCATCATTCTTCCATGGAGCAAAAGCCAGGTTGGGGAAAGCTTACTGCTGCCATGGTGATTTACTATTAAAAAATTAATCCTAGTCACAGAACAGCAACAGCTGCTGCTAGAAGGAAAGTATCAAGGTCAGAATACTCCAGAGAGACAGAAAAATGCAACAATTTGCTACCCCTAATCACCCATCCAATTAGCAGACAAAAGCCTATGTGAGTCTCAAGCCTGAACAGCTGAAGTACTACCACACCATCCTGATAACTATGGCAATTTGCACTTACCGGCCCATGCTTAGATCTGAGATGGTAGACAAGTCCTGCCTTTGATTTGTATGCTTTTCCACAGTGATGGCACTTCATAGCCATTTTCTCCAGCTCAGAAGCAGCCTTCCCACATTTTTTAACATGATACAGGTATCCCATTATGCTAGTGAAGCTGCCTGTGCAGCCCTGTCAATGCAGAAGAAAAATGCATGGAAGAAAAAAGCTCTCCAAGTGACCACAAGACCACCATGTATAGAACCCACAGTTTGCTGACAAAAGTACTATCACTCTTCCTGACGGACCAGAGACAATCAGGTAGTAAACTTTAATGGTAGTCTATTCACATAGATGAAATCTGGGACAAAGAATTGGATGCAACTGGGAGAAACTGGTTCTTAGAACTCCTTTGTAGCTAGTGGGCAACAGATAATTTCAATGTATGGAATGAAGAAGCAAGATGTTAAATGAAAATGCACAAACGGAAACATTTTCAGAAACAAACAGAGGAGTTGGGCAGAAAAACAGGAAGGTTTTATACTCAGTTGACTGGTCAAACTGTCTAGAATGCAGCAATATTAGGGTGATGGTAAATAAAACTTTCAGCTATTCCTAGGACACATCTATTGTCTCATGTTGCAACGGAGGACAACAAAAACTCCAATGGTTCCTGCAGATGTCACTTACTAGAGTATCTCCTAACCCTGAATCCAGTGATCAACTTGACACTGAGCTTGGAAACAGGACAAACTAAACATGCATCAGCAAGTTTTTAATTTTCTTAGATGTATCCATTTGCCCTCCGTCTCCTTCTCTAGCTGTGGCCAAATTCAATATTTTCAAAAACCACAGACAAACTCACTGAGTTAATTATACATAAAAACACCTTCCCAGCTATCACAAACAACTAAGGAAAGAGCAGAAGTACACATTAAAAAAATACTTTTGATGCACACAAGAAATAATTCAGTGTCCTCTCGATCCCCCTTGAAGAGACCAACACATCAAAGAGCTCTGGCTGGCCCTGCTTGAGCACAGGGGTTGAACTAGATGACCTCAGAAGTTCCCTTCCAGCCTTAACAATTGTGTAATTCTGTGAACAATTAATAATACTGTTGCAAGGTAAAATGGTTATTCTTTAACTTCTTCCTCCCTGACATCTTCCACTGAATGCATTTATGAAGTTATACCTTTGCTGAATCTACATTTACACATCTAGTTTAAAGAAGTCATTTAAAAAAACCCTGTAATCAAAAATAAAAACTCCATTTCAATCACCCTAGTGATCCTCTCTAAAAGAGTGTGAATGGGTATCAGACAGTAACCAAAGGTGAATTCCTTTCCAGTGTAAGCAAGAGAATGTCACCTCACAAGTCATGTGTGAAGTCCTAAAGCTTCTGGTTGAGCTAGTTAGTGTTCACCAGGCTCCTACTTTGTTTAGTCATGAGGTTCTAACAAAGTATCAGTCATTCCAAAATTCATTCTCTATGCTCAGTGCTTCACAAGTGTTAAGAGGAAATTCTCCAGGCAATCTGCTGCCTTCCAGGTAACACTGCATCCCATCAAAGTCCCTCAAAAGACTACTAGACTTGAAGTGGGAAGGGGATATCAGGCTTGTCTGTGACAAGCCATGGCACAACACGCCAAGGTTTGAGGGACGGAGTGCTAGCAAGGGCCCTCAGCCTGTTGCGCTGAGATGTGTGGGTACACTGGAGCACAGAGATAAGTCTTGCAGAGACAAGCCAGGGGCTCCTGAGGTATTAGGAGCCAAGACAGAAACACCAGTGAAATACCTCAAAGGAATTAATGTGTGTTCCTCTAAAAAGGTGACACAGCCGGTAGCCCAGCTGAAGTGCCTTTACACCAATGCACGCAGAATGGGTAACAAACAGGAGGAGCTGGAAGCCATCATGCTGCTAGAAAGCTATGACCTAGTTGCCATTACTGAAACTTGGTGGGATGAGACCCATGACTGGGGCGCTGCTATTGATGGCTACAAGCTGTTCAGAAGGGACAGGTGAGGAAGGAGGGGCAGAGGGGTTGCTCTCCATGTCAAGAAATGGAGAGATTGTGAAGATCTGCCTCTGAAAAATAGCCATGAGCAGACTGAAAGCTTATGGGTAAGAATTAGAGACCAGGGCAACAAAGTGAATCTTGCAGTTGGTGTTTACAACAGGCTTCTGGATCAAGTGGAGCCTCTTGACAAGGCCTTCTTACTCCAGCTACAGGAGGCATTGCACTTGCAGGCTCTCATCCTGCTGGGGGACTTCAACCACCCCAACATCTGCTGGGAAAGTAGCACAGTGAGCTGTAGGCAATCCAGGAGACTCCTGGAGTGCATCAAAGATAACTTCTTAAGCCAGGTAATAGACAGCCCTGCTAGAGGGATCGCGATACTGGACCTGATGGTCACCAACACAAGCAAGCTATTCAGAGACATCATGACCGGAGGCAGCCTGGGCTGCAATGATCATGCGCTGGTGGAGTTCCCAGTCCTGAGGGATATGGGATAGGCAAAGAGTAAAATCAGGACCCTGAATTTTAGGAAAGCAAACTTGCAGCTATTCAAGGAGTTAGTCAATAGGACCCCCCTGGGAAACCGTCCTCAGGGACAAGGGAGCAGAACAGAGCTGGCAAGTCCTTAAGGACGCTTTTCACAGAGCGCAAGAGCTCTTGATCTCCATGTGTAAGAAATCAGGAAAGGGAGGCAAGAGACTGGCATGGCTGAGTCGAGATCTGCTGGTCAAGCTAAAGGACAAGAAGGAAATGCACAGGCAGTGGAAGCAGGGACAGGTATCCTGGAAAGAGCATTGGGACACTGCCCGACTGTATAGGGATCGGGTCAAGAAGGCCAAGGCACAGCTGGAGCTGAACTTGGCAAGGGTCGTAAAGAGTAATGAAAAGGGCTACTATAGGTATGTCATCCAGAAAAGGAGTGTCAAAGAAAGTGCATACCCCCCTGCCCCCGACGAACACAACTGGTAACAACAGATGAGGAGAAGGCTGACGTACTCAAAAAGTCTTTTCCCTCGGTCTTCACTGGTAACCTCTCTTCCCACACCTCTTGAGTGGATGGACCTCAAGGCAAGGACTAGGGGAGCAAAGTCCCTCCCACTGTAAGAGAAGATCAGGTTCATGACCACCTGAGGAACCTGAACATACATAAGTTTATGGGACCTGACAAGATGCATCCCAGAGTCCCGCGTGAAAAGGCTCATGTAGCTGCCAAGCCACTCTCCATGATATCTGAAAAGTCATGGCAGTCAGGTGATATCCCCAGTGACTCAAAAAAGGCAAACATTGCATCCATTTTTAAAAAGGGTAGAAAGGAGGACCCTGGGAACTAGTGACCTGTCAGCCTTACCTCTGTGCCTGGGAAGATCATGGAACAGATCCTCCTAGAAGCTATGCTAAGGCACATGGAGGACAAGCAGGTGATTTGAGACGGCCAACACAGCTTCACCAAGGGTGAGTCTTGCCTTACCAACCTAGTGGCCTTCTATGATGGAGCGACTACGCTAATGGACAAGGAAAGAGCTATGGATGTCATCTATCTGAACTTCTGTAAGGCCTCTAACATGGTTCCCCCACAACATCCTTCTCTCTAAACTGAAGAGATATGGATTTGATGGATGGACTATTCGGTGGATAGGAAATTGGCTGGATGGTTGCATCCAGAGAGTAGTGGTTAACAGCTCAATGTCTGGATGGAGACTAGTGATGAGTGGTGTCCCTCAGGGGTCCATATTGGGACCAGTACTGTTTAATAACTTCATCAACAACATAGACAGTGGGATCGGATGCACCCTCTGCAAGTCTGCAGATGACATCAAGCTGAGTGGTGCGGATGACATGCCTGAAGGATGGGATGCCACTCAGAGGGACCTCCACAAGCTCGAGAAGTGGGCCCATGTGAACATCATGAGGTTCAACAAGGCCAACTGCAAGGTCCTGCACACGGGCTGGGGCAACCTCCAGCATCAAAGCAGGCTGGGGGATGAAGGGATTGAGAGCAGCCCTGCAGAGGAGGACTGGTGGATGAAAAGCTGGGCATGAGCTAGCAATGTGCACTTGCAGCCCAGAAAGCCAATCATATCCTGGGCTGCATCAAAAGCAGCATGGCCAGCAGGTTGAGGCAGGGGATTCTGCCCCTCTACTCTGCTCTGGTGAGGCCCCACCTGGAGTACTGCATCCAGCTCTGGAGTCCTCAGCACAGGAAAGACAAGCACCTGTTGGAGCAAGTCCAGAGGAGGGCCACAAAAATTATTAGAGGGATGGAACACCTCTCCTATAAGGAAAGACTAAGAGAGTTGGGGTTGTTTAGCCTCGACAAGACTCCAGGGAGACCTTATTGCAGTCTTACAATAAAGATGGAGAGAGACTTTTTACCAAGGCCTGTAGCGACAGGACAAGGGGTAATGGTTTTAAACTAAAAGAGGGTAGATTCAGACTAGATACAAGGAGGAAATTTTTTACGATGAGGGTGGTGAAATATTAGAACAGGTTGCCCAGAGAGGTTGTAGATGCCTCATCCCTGGAAACATTCAAGGTCAAGTTGGATGGGGTTCTGAGCAACCTGATCTAGTTGAAGATGTCCCTGCTCATTGCAGAGGGAGTTGGACTACATGACCTTTAAAGGTCCCTTCCAACCCAAACCGTTCTATGATCCTATGATACTCTGTCTTTAAAGCATAGCTAGGATCTTGAAACAAATACAGCTTTGTCCAGCGCCAAAGCATACCCAGCAGAACTCTAATAATGTTTTATGTTCATGCATCTGCTGCTGTTTAATTCAGGATACTTAGCACAATGTAGCTTACCTCCCTCGTACACTTTAGTTTTCCCATACGCTTCAAAACCTTCCGAAGGCGGTCTCGCTCAAGCTGCTCATCCAATTCTCCTCCCTCCTTCACAACTGGCTAAAGCCCAGCAGAAAGATGAGAGAAAAACACAGGATGCTTAGCATTTATAGTTCTTCTCATAGGGAATTCACTACTCAACACACTACTGAAGGAAAGCTTCTAAAATAATTAAATCTCTGCAACTTATGATTTTATGGAAGTGTATCTAATACAATGATCACTGTCTATTTCCCAGAGCAACTCAATTATCTTTAAAAGGAGTAAACTGCCTGAAAACCACTTTGCAGATAAGAGTTTTAACATTTAGGTAGCCATCTATGAACAAAACCTTGACAAAGAAATGGTCCCAAACTATAGCTGCTGGGAAGGACAAGGATATTTATTTCCATAATTACTTTTCTCCCCTTCTGCCTGTGGAAAGTACTTACTCATCTCTGTCACGCATCTTTAACGTTTACTGGTCCTACCATCTCCACTTAGCCTAACTAAAGCGAAGTAGATTAGCTGCCCGTAACTGTTACTCATCTATGCTAAACTACAGCTCAAGTTGTTCTCTATTGTCTCTCTGCTGGTTATTGTATATAATTTCCTACACTACTGTACAATAATATTACACCTAGACTGAATAAAAAGTTAGAAATGTGTGACAGACCTATTCCTCAGGCTCAGAACATGATCCCTGGCCTATTTCATTTACGAGTACAGCTGTAGGTTCAGAAACCATAGTACTGGGAACTATGTAAAAAAAAAAAAAACAGTAATGAATTATCTATGAATTATCTAAACCTCACTCAAACTTCCGAATGACCTTTTCAAAAGTTCTAATTCTTCAAAACTACAACAGGAGACATTGCCTTCTTTAAAGTAATACCAAAGAGGAAAATCAGATTGTAGCATTAGTATCTGTACAGTAAATAGAGACAAGAATCAAACTGCTGCTTCTGCTTTTTTACCTTTGAACTCGTAAAGAACTGAAATCTAGTCTGCTCTGGATGTAGAAGCACTCCTACTTTATAGTCATGGACTGAAAATTGTAGCCTAATGAGTAATCATTTTTTTTCTGATTGAGAATGCCTAAAATGCACAACGCCTAAACAGAAATTCATCCCCTCTTTCTAAGACATAGCATGTGTACCATCTCTGGTAACATTCTACTGTTTATTCAGATGTCAAATCTCACTAGACTAATAACAGGTAGACAAGATTGGAATAGCTACAACATTTGAAAAACTACACCATGTTCTGTTTCTGTGTGCACCAGGGAAGGTACAAAAGACTGTCCTGCTTGTAGGATTTTCAGATGCACAGCAGTTGTGTTACCTGATTGTTATGGTCTGCCATGACATGGTATTTCATCCCTCCTAAAGACTTGAGCTGCTTCCCACAGTGATGACATGTGAACATTTCCTAGAAATAACCAAGGATATGGTGTGTTGAACTGCAAATTAACCAAAGCAGTGGGAAACTCTTTGGGGGAAGGGAGTAGGAGAGCAGAACATTTTATTTGGGCCTGATAACTGCCCATTAAGAACATAAGAGATTTCATGGAGCCTAAAATTTAGGGGAACAATGAAATAGCCACACCTTTGTTCACTACCCCAAATCTCCAGCAAAAGGCTAAGCAAGAAACACCAAGCGCAGCCTCTTACAGATTTACAAGGACTCTTGCCTAGAGACATCATGACAAGATGAAATTGCTTTTCAATGCAACACAAAACAGCATACAGGCATTTCAATCAGTAAGTTGAAGAGGAGTAAAGAAAACATTGTTCCTCTCTCCTGTTCTTACCTGCCTGCAATTTACCATATGTTTCTTCAGTCCTTCTACAGTCTTTCTCACCACAGCCCGGCATGTTGGACATGTAACTCGGCCTTTGTCCTGAATTTCCAAAGACCACCGCAGTCAAAACAAAACGTTTCGAATAGAACTGCAAACACAATGCCCAATGAATCCTAGAAGGAAACAAACAGGTCACATGCTACCAAACTCATGATCAGCTACACTTCAATAGGTTTAGATCATTTGCAGCTTCAAAGGTGTCATGTGACAAGGCACACATCACTCCTTTTGGGAGATAATTTTATAAAGACTCTTTAATCCTACCATCGCCTTGTGATGACTGTTCTTCCACTTGTTCAGTAGAGATTTTTCCTTCATTCATTTTTATTACACAATTACTTTCGCGCGCAGAATAAAATTTTCTTTTGGCAAAAGGGTTTTCACACTAAAAATATTCACAGATGTGACTCAACAGTTTCAGACAAAGTTCACAGTTCAGTTCTACCAAACAAATCTTTAGAACTCCACTTACGTTAGCCAGCAGTTTTGGCACTGAAAGTGAACACAGCTGCACCACCAGACCAAGTTACTTAACAGCCAGGGAAAAGTACCCTGTGTGGTATGGTATCCAGTTCCTGGCCATTTTTTGAAATGCCAAGCAAAGGCTTGGCATACTTCTGCGATTCTGTGATAATCCACAAGGATTATACATTACTGAAACGGGTTCTGGGAAGAAACTGGCTTAGCAGCCATCTGCCTGAATTCTTATCATAAAAAGATCTAAAGGTTTTCCTCTTTGCCCAGTAATAGCAGGCATGGGTTGTCCCTCCTTGGGTGGCTGGGGGAAAAGTCTGTGAATCAAACAGCACTTGGCAGAAAACTGGGTTATTTAATGAGTGCCGTGAGCTACACATACCAAGTCATTTCACTTGCTGAGTCAAGGCTAATGTTATTTTTCTAGGATGGACTGCTTGGGTCTCTGGCTACCAGGTTACCAGAAGAGGTAATTTGGCAGGAACAGCTACAGAGTTTTTCCTGCAAACATATTCTGCTGAGTAAAAAAGTATAAATATTTTTACAAGTTTTAGAGTATTTTAACATGATTTGCTCAGTTCAAAAAGTGATTTCCCCTTCACTGTTCCATTATGCAGTTGTAAAACCAGGTGGAACTAAAATATTAGGCAGTATGCAGGCCCTCCAATCTTGCTCTGCAGTACCGACACAGTGCTGCAAGGACAGCAGCCAGCTCTTCCTTGTCAACAGTAAAGTGAACAACAAAACTGAAACACCAGAAGTACAGCTGTGGCTCATATTCAAATCTTAGCATCACATTTATCTTTTAGTTGCTTTATAAACAAATCTGAGCAACTGTTGCTTCTTCTTACCTGTGCCATAGTCTTCTGGTTCTTTCTGAACAGAGTGGCCTTTTGTTTTGGAGTTTTGTTGTGTTCCAGCTTGCTGTTTTTTTCCTGTTATAACACAAACAAGAAAGATGAGAAGACTTAATTCTGCAAGCCTTGTTACAAAAAAGCAGAGATTTTTTGCTAAGAGGCTGCTATTTAGCCTGCTGTCTCAAAGCTATGTTCAATGCTTTTTCTTTTAAAGGAATTTCAAGATTATGTTCCCTACTCCCTTTCAAAATCCATAGCTATTTACAGCTGCAGGCATTAGTCCCATCCAGATATTTGTAATCTGTACGGTTGTTCATACACAAAGCTCAGGGGATGGGAACTCTTCACACTGGAACACGCTCTCTTCACAGTAAGGCTGAGCCAATCTAATGACTTGTTGACAACCAAATGGACAGTCCCATTCCTCTACTCATTCGTGTCTTCTTTAGACTAAACAACTCTTATTGTTTCAGTATTTTCTCATGGCTTATGCTTTTTGCTCTCTTCTCCTTGTTCACACCTAGGAGGTTGTTCTTTGGCTTTCAGCTGCACTAATATTTCTTCCTAACTACAGCATCTTTAACTTTACACACTATATTCCATTCTGTTTTTTAAACAGTTTCTCTCGTGTTCTCCATCTCTTTCAGCTTTGTGCTGTCTACATACTTCCAAGTCCTTGATGACAAAAACAATAGTTAGAATTGAACCTACGACGGACTGTGAACCACCATTCTATACTTTTTTGTATTTCACAGAAATCACAGAAACATTAAGGTCAGAAGGGACCTCCCGAGATCACCTAGTTCAACCCCTGTGTTCAAGCAGGGTCAGCTAGAGTAGGTTGCCGAAGAATGTTTTTCAGTCAAGTTTTGAGTATCTCCACTGATCAACACTCCACAACCTCTTTGGGAAACCCGTGCCAGGGTTTGACCACCCTCACAGTAAAAATGTGTATTCTTGTCTTTAGATAGAATTTTGTGTGTTTTCATTTGTGCCTATTATCTCTTGTACTGTCAGCGAGCACTACAGTGAAGAGTCTGGCTCCCTTTTCTTCATTCCCTCCCACCAAGTATTTATACACACTGACAAGATTCGCCCTGAGCCTCCTCTTCTCCAGACCGAGGAGTCACAGCTTTCTCAGCCTGTCCTCATAGGAAAGACATTCCAGCCTCTCAATCATCTTTGCAGCCCTGCACGAGACTCTCTCCAGTATGCCCATGTCTCTCTTGTATTGAGGAGCTCAGAATTAGACATGGTACTCCAGATATGGCCTCACCAGCACTGAGCAGAAAGGAAGGATCACCTCCTTTGACCTGCTGGCAATGCTCTTCCTAATGTAGCCCAGAATGCTGTTGGCTGCCTTTGCCACATGAATGTGTTGCTGGCTCATGGTCAGCTTGCTGTCCACCAGAACCACAAGGTCCCTGTCTGCAGAGCTGGTTTCCAGAAAGTTAGCTACCAGCATATGCTGGTACATGGGGTTATTCTTGTCACGCTGCAGGACTTCACATTTCTCCCTGATGAGCCCCAAGAGATTCCTCTCTGCTTAATTCTCCAGCCTGTCCGGGTCCCTGTGAATGGCAGCACACCCATCTGGGGTACCACCATTCCTCCCAGTTTTGTACCATCAGTGTATTTCCTGAGGGTGCACACTGTCCCATTGTCCAGGTCATTAATGAAAATGTTAAACAGTTCTGGCCCCAGTATTTACCCCTGGGGTACACCACTACTGAAGTGCTTCCAACTAGACTTTGTGCTGCTGATCATAACTCTCTGGGCCTGGATGTTCAGTTCGTTTTCAGTCCACTGCACTGTTCATTTATCCAAACTGTACTTCATCAGCTCGACCATGAGAATCTTGTGGGAAACGGCACCAAAAGCCTCACTAAAGTAAAGGTGAACAACATCCACCACTCTCTCCTTGTCCATCAAGTTAGTGACCTCATTGTAGAAGGTTATCAGCTTGATTAAGCATGATTTGCCCTTCATGAATCCATGCTGACTACTCCCAATCACTATCTTGTCCTTCGTGTGTTTGGAAATGCCTTCCAGGAGGATTCTCTCCATCGCCTTCCTAGGGACTGAGGTGAGGCTGACCACCCTGTAGTTCCCCAGATCTTTCTCCTTTCTGTCCTTAATGATAGGAGTGATATTTGCTCTCTGCCAGTCTTCACGAACCTCTCCCATTCGCCACGATCTTTCAAAGGTAATCAAGAGTGGCCTCACAATGACAGCAGCCTGCTCTTTCAGCACTCAGTGCAACCCATTAGGCCCCATGGGACTTAGAATCACAGAATTGTTTGGGTTCGAAAAGACCTTTAAGATCATCGAGCCCAACTGTTAACATAGCACTGCCAAGTCCACCGCTAAACCGTGTCCCTAAGTGCCACATCTACACGTCTTTTAAATACCTCCAGGCAACCCTTTTGGTGAAGAAATTTTTCCTAATATCCAACCTGAACCTCCCCTGGTGCAACTTGAGTCCATTTCCTCTTGTCCTATTGCTTGTTACTTGGGAGAAGAGACCAACTCCCACCTTGCTAGAACCTCCTTTCAGGTAGTTGGAAAGAGCAATTAAGGTCTCCTCTCAGCCTCCGTTTTTCCAGGCTAAACAACCCCAGTTCCC